AGAAAGCATCTGAGGGTGTTAGAGGGGAGGGGGGTGGGGGGATGGGTTAGCCCGGTGACGGGTATTAAGGAGGGCACGTACTGCATGGAGCACTGTGTTATACGAAAACAATGAATTGTGGATGACTACATCAAAAACTAATGATGGTACTATATGGTGACTAACATAATAAAATTTAAAAATAAAAATAAAGCACAGATTCAACATTTTTTTAGTATATTCACAGAGGTGTGCAACCATTAGTAACTACAACTGGTTTTAGAGTATTTTCTCAGCCACAAAGAATCCCTATACCTTTTAGCAGACACACACACACGCCCCTATTTTCCCATAACTCCCCAGTCTCTGGCTACCGCTAATCTACTTCCTGTCTCTATGGCTTCATTTATTCTGAGTATCTCATATAGATGGAATCATTTAATATCTGGTCTTTGTGACTGACTTCTGTCACTCAGCATCATGTTTTTAAGGGTCACCCATGCTATAGTTTGTATCGGTGAAAGTCTGATTTTGAACATGCTGAATTTGAGGTGTCTTCAGGACAGCCATGTGAGGCTATCTTGGAGGCAGCTGGAAATCTGGAGCTCTGGAGAATGGTCAGGGCTAAAGAGAAATGGCTAGGACCTTGGGAAGAGGTGAGGGCAATCAAGGCAAGTAGAAGGAATAAACAAAGAGAAGAAAGAATATAATACTAGCGAATGCTTGTATTTTTGAAAAGATACATGAAAGAAGAGAAACCACCAAATAAGACAAAGAAGTCAGAGAGGTAGACAGGAAAACTGGAGGCTCCAGAGGTCAGAAATGTCTGAAGGTGATGATGCCACCCTGGCACACTTCAGCTCCAGGGACAAAGCAGGTGGGTACCAGATTCTTGTTGAGTCACCTGATCTTGGTTCCCATTCTATCTTTGTACTCCACGACTTTCAAGGGTTTTTTCAACCCCAAGCGCCATAGATCCCAGTTTCTAACTTCCTTCTTTAGTGTCTTTACACTCTCTCCTTTCTCCCCTTTGTATCCATGGGCACAGCTCTGGTAGGCACCTTGCTGACAGGCCCCCTGAGGACCGCTAGAGAATCTATGAGGCTAAGGAACTCCAGGTCTCCCTGACTGAACACACAACTGCTAGTATTTTTTCAGAGGCAGTGTTCTCAGAGGTGGCTTCATGAATTTTTACTGTGTTCTTTGTCCTACCCTGGTACATATTCAGACCCTCAAGAGTTTCTGAAAACTTTGCGATGAGAAGAGGATATTTAAGGGGGTCACTTGTGAATGATTGTGAATAAAAGACCAGGCTTATTCCAGGTGGTAACAGACATTCCTCCCACCCCCTCATCTTCTAGCCCAAGCACAGAATTCAAGAGAAAGGTGACACAGTAAAAGGGAATCTGGGTGCCAGAATGGGATTAATAATGACAAGTGCCAAGAAATTAGGAGGAAGAATTTCAGTTTTGTACTTCTTAATACTGCTTGGGAATCCTGCTCCTTTGTAGGCAGCTGGGGAGCCACAAATGCTCTTGTTAAGTAGGACAAGAAGACATATTAGGAGCACATCTAGGATCTCCCCCACCCCTCCGTGAGACCGTTTAGTACTGGAGAGAGGAAGCACATGTCTGATGGCACAGTAACCAGATCATACTACAGATGAGCATCACAAGACTTTCAAGCCATGAATGATCTGCCCAGGCATTTCAACATGGTCAGGGAGTGAGCAGTCCAGACAAGATCAATCTAAACCTTCCTGGCGGACTATGAGGCATGTACAAATGTGTAGGTTCATATCTAATGTCAGGCTCAAGCAGCTCCAGGGCACCTAGGTAAATTAATTGGTCATGAATCTTTAATCTAGGTGGTGATCTTTTTTTTTTAAGATTTTATTTATTTTATTATTTGACAGAGAGTGAGCGAGAGAGCACAAGCAGGGGGAACAGCAGAGGGAGAGGGAGAAGCAGGCTCTCCGCTGATCAGGGAGCCCGACGCAGGGCTCGATCCCAGGACCCTGGGATCATGACCTGAGCCGAAGGTAGACGCTCAACCATCTGAGCCACCCAGGCGCCCCTCTAGGTGGTGATCTAATAACAATAAAAAGAATGAACTCCCTATTAGGGCAAAAAGCCAGACCAGTGCACAGATACTGCCCAGACTGCAGCTTCTCTCCAGGACAGGACCTTCAAAGTTCCCTCCCATGCAGAAGCTTGAGATGCAAACTGATATAAATGGTACCTCATACTCAATAACTCCATTTGAGCACAAGTGTCCCTAATCTAAGAGAAAGGGGACACAAGCAAGACTGGAAAAAACTGAAGACTCCAAGCCTTCATCTCCTTTCTTTAGGGCATAAAGGATAAGGTGAAATGAATAGGTCTAAGTCATCAGTTTATACACATAGAATAGGGTTTCAGAGTAGCAAAACACTACTGGGACAGTCCAAAGGCCAGATAAGCCTTAAGTACCTTACTTCAGACCTTGGCAGAAACAGAGAACTGCAATGCCTCATTCCTTTCCCTAAAGGCTGGAATGTGTGGAACTCAACCATTAAGTAGAGTGCTAATAGTAGGGTATGTACCTAATTTCATGCCGTACTTGTAGAGCTGGGCCTTGTTCAAACACAAACCTATAAAAAACCTATTTATGCCTTGCTTATACGTACTGACAGTAGCCAGAATGGAAAAGCCCATGTCAATGTAGCTACAATACAAAGACATATGAAGTAGCATCTGGAAGGGTAGGCCTAAGAAAAAAAGAGTAGTAGACACTGTTTAAAAGGGCAGTGTCTTGGGACTACTTCTAAAGCACTCAGATGGCAGCAAAAGGCAAAAGGAGGGCAGGCTATGAGCTGCACTGGACCTTAACTGCTACATTTTGGATGTAACTGCTACATTTTGCATGATACAAAAACCAAGGCCCTAAAGACTGGGGATTCATAGCAGCTTGTGGCTCCCTTTGGACACACTTTTTTTTTTTTAAAGATTTTATTTATTAGAGAAAGAGAACGCATGCAAGCAGGGGGAGGGACAGAGGAAGAGGGAGAGAGAGAAGCCCAAGCAGACTCCACACTGAGCACAGAGCCCAATGGGGGGCTCGATCTCAGGACCCTGAACCAAAATCAAGAGTTGGACACTTAACCAACTGAGCCACCCAGGTGCCCTTCTGGGATGTCCTAAGATGAAGGCCTGATGTCTGGTTTCTATTTACTGTTAAGTGAAGCTGGTGGTCAATGTGGTCTGGAAGGACTGGGTGGTAAGAAATGGGCATGGTGAGGCTAAGAAAAGAATAACTAAATGGCACAAGTTCAATGAGCATATAGAAACTGCAGGCTAAGACAGACAGTCAAGCACTCAGGAACCCCCAGCCATGTAAAAACTGGAGGAAAAACGGAGTCAAAGGAAGATAACACAGAGCAAACAGAAGAGAAACACAAGTACCTGAAACCCAAACTCGCAACTGAGAATAAGGCTTGCCTCTGCCTTCCTCCGTGAGTGGAAATCAATGACTCGCTTCCCTGTGAACAGCCACGCCCGCCAACTGTGATTGGGGACAAATACCTAGAAGATCTGCTGCAGAGAAACTTGCCACACGAGACAGGAAGAAAAGCAGCAACTCAATCTGACGGTAGGGAGGTGTACAAGAGGGGAAAATGTGTCCAATTACATTCACATTTTTAAAGAAGAGATGGCTTTCATAACATCAATAACATCAACAGTAACATACATGGTGAAATTAGAAACTTCGCCTAAAGTATTCAGTTAAAATTGGGGGCGGGGGGCAGGGTGAGAGAAATTACAGAAGATACAGTTAACTCTAAAACTTAAAAAAAAAACAGTTGAGGGGCGCCTGGGTGGCTCAGTTGTTGGGCGTCTGCCTTTGGCTCGAGTCGTGATCCCAGGGTCCTGGGATCGAGCCCTGCATCGGGCTCCCTGCTCCATGGGAAGCCTGCTTCTCCCTCTCCCACTCCCCCTGCTTGTGTTCCTGCTCTCTCTCTCTCTCTCTGTCAAATAAATAAAAAAAAAAAACTTTATAAAAAAAAAACCAGTTGACAATTCCATTCTACTAGTCCATCTTTCAAAAAATAAGTTTTACTAAAATCACTAAGCAAGCTCAGGGTAAAGGTTTCACAGGTATGAATATTTAAGGGAACATTTATAGTTAGAAAATTTATAAAACCACAGTTGGACTATTTGATAGCAACACTGGATACACATACATTTCTCAGAGAAAATATAGCCCCAAATTAACAAAAATGAGTCAGAAAATTGGCAAACATGCCTCACTTAACTGATGTAATGCTATTGTTCTCATTTAAAATATATAGAATGCAATTTTATATCATATTTATACTGCATTTTCAAATACCAACATGACATTTAAATAAAATCAATCCACAACTAAAAGAGAACAAAATTCAAATTATCAAGAAACTTTTTATTAACATTAAGAATTAGCACATGTGGCAATGGTTGCAAAGCATTATGAATGTAATTACTACCACTGAATTGTATACTTAAAAATGATTAAAATGGCAAATTTTATGTTATATGTATTTTATCACAATAAAAAGCACATGAATGGGGGAAAAGAAAAATCAGTGTATTTTGCAATTTCGTGCCCTTTTTATACAGTCAGTTCAATATTTTTTGGTACTTAGATAATTCACATTGTATAAGGCTAAAATATACCAGTTAAAAGTCTTTACCTGAATTTCCATTTCAAAGATTAATCATACAACAGACATTCCAAAGTAAAAAGTTCAAACAGCTTGACATATTCATAGTATTTGAGGCACAACAGCAAAAAGCATTTTAACATTAAACAGTCTCACAACTCTATTACCATCACTCCTTGAATTTTTTCTTCAACTATCATGCAATAAGAACATCTGTGAGATTTAGGCTGTAACTTAAGTCAAAATTAAATAAAAAAAAAAACACTCGATCTAGTAAAAAGAAATAATTTAGGAGTTCAAAAGTCACTCTACATTTTTAAATGACCATAATGCAACTAACCTTTTTTTTCCTCAGTAATTTTTCTCTGAATTTATTAGTGATAAATCCCCTTGGGCCAGCAAATCGTAAACGCTGATATTTAGCCTGAATGTATAAGCTCTTCTGTACTAGGCCTGATTTATAATGGGGCTGGAATCTGCCACCTCTAAATTTGGTCTGTAAAGAAAAAAACAATTAAGTGTAAAAACTACAGCTTCCAAATCTATTAGTAAAAGAAATGGAAAAACGTCTGGTACTTGGAACCACCCTTGATTCTAGGCACTATATATATTAAAATGGAAGAGGTTAATGATGGTTATAAAGTATGTTTTCTTCAAACTAGGCTCGTAGTTTATTTTATATAATGATTAAAATTTACATAAAAGCAATTTTTTAAGATTTTATTTATTTATTTGAGGGAGAGAGAGAACACGAGTGGAGGGAGGGGCAGAGGGAGAGGAAGAGACACAAGCACACTCCCTGATGAGCAGAGTTCCAGGACAAGGGGCTCGATCCCAGGACCCTGGGATCATGACCTGAGCCGAAGGCAGCCGCCTAACCCACTGAGCCACCCAGGCGCCCCTACATAAAAGCAATTTTAAAAACTAAGTTAAAAAAATTTGAAATTCTTTAAATTTATCATGTAAAAACAAATGCAACTTTTAAAACCTTACCTAATGAGCTAAAATTATCCTTCTGATTCATAATGAAATATATCAAATCCCAAATGGGGGGAAGACATTAAGTATCAACATCTATTTAAGAACCAAAAACTCTCTTAATTTCATTCCTGTCAGTTCTTCAAGCCCATCTTTCTTTACCATAAAAATACCATTATAGCAAATATTTTCAAGATAAGAGTTTACACTGAAAAAGACCATTTCTTGGCCCACATACTGCCCAGTATTACAACAGACATAAGAGGACAATGAATATTTGTTTGATTCCCATGTGGGAAATGTACAAATGGTATATTATAATGGAGTAATTATAAAAAACCAAGCATATTCCTCTTTCTAGAATTATTTAACAAATGGGTATGTCATACATAATGAAGCACATTACTTTACTTAAAAAAGCATTTATGCCAGGCCTATTTTCCAGTTATTTTCTTAAGGCTACAAAAAATTCAGGTAAGACAGAATAAGAGTAAGACACTATAGTTTCATTAAAGCTATCTGCGCAAACTTAACGTATCAGAGCTAATCCTGAAATTTACACTGTTCATTTTTACATATCTAATAAAGTAACTACTATCTTGCTTTGAATTAGTCCATTAAAAAGAAAATTTTAATGAAATAGCTCCTTTTCTTAGAAAGGATTATTTCTTCTCCTGATTTTACTATAAATAATTGTGAATTTCTAAACAATCATATAACATTACACAGCTTTAAATGATTGGTCAAAAGGAAAGATTATTGCATATATTTTAAAAAACATTTAAAAATAATTAATATTAAAGAACTTTCCCTTAAGAAGAAAGGGTAACAGGAAATAGGCCTTGTAAGGATCTTAGAAAAATACTACAAACAACTATATCTGACCAATGAGAAGAACAACATGTAGGAAGCACTCATATCAGAAAGCCCAGCTACACTGTCTCTGAGTTACACAGACATCACATTTTCAGTTGATTTTGTGGCTCATTACTCAAGAGATCAAAAGATAGTATAAAACATGTTTATATTCTATGGCCAGTGCTATTTTTGAAACCTAATGTCACACCTGTTTTCAGGTACATGAAAAACTGGCCGTTATCTGCACAATGCCTTCAGGTTGTGTTATTACAAATGAAAAAAAGACTGTCGACATCTAGAATTTATGCCTCTCAACAAGCCAGGTATTAATAGAAGACCACTCAACTACCTCCTAGTCTATGGTTTGGGGATAGATTATACTACTTTTATGCTCATACTAATTTCCTCCTAATGAGCTAACTACTCTATCCAGCCTGCCTGCTACTTTCACAAAAAACCCTAGATTACTTTCCTTTCTTTTGGCGGTATGGGGAAAGAGATAAACCTTGTCTGCCTCCTCATCAAGAGCCACCCCATCTGCATCTGTTTTATATATTTGTGTTTTCCACATAATCTTTGAAAAAGGGTTCCAATGGTTAAAAAAATATCTGAAACACAAGTCCTGAGGAAAGGGATTATCATTAAACTGATTATAGTTAACTATAAATTTATGTCCACAAATATTAGTTTATAGCTACTATTTGAAATATCACAAAAGCAGCTTTTAATTTACTAACACTTAGAACATTATGTTCAAAGCATAAACCCAAAGCTAGAATTAGATGGAAAATAACACTGAATACCTTAAAAGGTCTTCTAAAGCCTGTTGTGTTTTGATGTCTTTCCTCAACTCCAAAGGGTTTCTGAGTAATGATGTCTTTTCTCTGCATAGTATAATTCTGCATGAAAAAAGTATTAGTATGGATTAATATATTTAAAGTTTATTTTTAAAAGTTCATCTTACCATTTAAAAAATATGAGTTTTGGGCAGAAGACATGAATGGACATTTTTCAAAGAAGACATATAGATGGCCAACAGACACATGGAAAGATGCTCAACATCATTAACTATCAGGGAAATGCAAATTAATACCACAGTGAGATACCACCACACCTGTCAGAATGGCTAGACTCAAAAACATAAGAAATAAGTGTTGGCGAGGATGTGGAGAAAAAGGAACCCTCAGGCACTGTTGGTGGGAATGCAAACTGGGGCAGCCACTGTGGAAAATAGTATGGAGAGTCACCAAAAAATTAAAAATAGAAATACCATATAACCTAGCAATTCCAATACTGGGTATTTACCCAAAGAAAATGAAAATACTAAATCAAAAAGATATATGCACCCCAGTTTACTACAGCATTATTTACAATAGCCAAGACATGGAGGGAACCTAAGTGTCTATCGGTAGACGAATGGATAAAGAAATATGGTATCTATACAATGGAATATTACTTGGCCACAAAAAGGAATGAGATCTTGCCATTTGCGACAGCATGAATAGACCTAGAGGTTGAAATGAAATCAGTCAGAGAAAGACACTAAGTGTGTCTTTCTAAACGAAATCAGTCAGAGAAAGACAAATACCATAAGATTTCACTTATATGTGGAAAAGGAAAAACAAAAAACATGAGTAAACAAACAAAAAGCAGAAAAAGACCCAAAGATACAGAGAACAAACTGATAGTTTCTGGAGGAGAGGGGGTGAGGAGATGGGCAAAATGGGTGAAAGGGTGTGGGAGATATAGGCTTCCAGTTATGAAATGAGTAAGTTGTAGAATGAGTAAGTCACAGAGAGGAAAGGTACAGCACAGGGAATACTGTAAATGGTACTTGTAATAATGTTGTGCGGTGACAGACAGTAGCTACACTTGTGGTGAACATAGAATAACACAAAGCTTTCTTGAATCACTGTGTTGTACACCTGAAACTAATATAACACAATAGGTCAACCACACTGCAATAAAAAAATTAAAAATTAAAAAAAAATAAATAACACATTTTAAATGTATAGGATTAAGAACACAAAACAGGTAGCACGTAGCTTAGCTCTAGGAACATACATACATCTTCCTTCACGTAACCTGTGCTAGTTTATGAGGGGCTAGTTTAATTCATGAATGTGAGAAGTATAAAAAAATTCCTCCCGTATAACACAGTGAGTGACTTTTGGAAAATGGACCATACATCCAGTATTTATTCAGGCATCCAGGAAAGAATCGAACTGTTGCTAAAGAGTTCCCACTGCCTAAGAAGAAAACAAATTCTCAACACTGCAGGGGGCAGGTTTTGCTGACTCAGATAACTGATTTGAGGTGATGCTCCTGCCATGACTAGGAAAGTATCAAAAGTCAGAGTATTAAGACCGTAACTGCAAAGAACAGGAATCCTTTAATGGGAACAGAAAAGATGGGGCCCATTCTGAAGTTCCTTTTTTCCAAAATCAAGTCTTAAGCCTATTCATTCCATTTGCTGTACTTCTCACAAATTTTCCTCTTTCATACCTTTATCTCTCTCCACAGTTTGAAAAAAAAAAGTCATATAAAACCCTTTACATAGCAGTCATCTTCAATTTATACTAAGTCTATAAATTTGACTAAGTGCACAAAGATACATGTAATGAGATGAGACTTTGGGGGACCATGGTAGGGAAGGGTGTATTTTGCAAGTGAAGGGATGTGAATCACTGGGGCGCAGCGGGAGGACTGTACCAGACAGCTTCTGACCAGGCTCCCAGTGAGCCCCACCCTCCAGTATCCAGGCCCCTTTGTCATCCCCCTTCCCTTGAGCGTGAGCTAGACCTAGTGACTTGCTTCTTACAAGCAGCATGTGATAGAAGTGATAGAACATCACACTTTGGAGATTAGATTACAAGCAGACTCTGGCTTCCAACTTTCTAGCTGTCACTTGCTTGCTCTTATTCCAAAAGTCAGCTGCCATATTTTAAACTGCCTATGAAAGGGCAGATCTTTAGAGAGAGAAAGTAGATTAGTGGTTAGCTAGGGGTGGGAACAGGAAATAATTAAACAAGCATGAGGGCTATTACTGGGGGTCATAAAAGGTTATAAAACTGGATTACGGTGATGGTTACATATCTTGGTAGATTTATAAAATATCATTAAATTGTATACCTAAAAGGGGTGAAAATTTTATGGTATGTAAATTATATCTTAATAAAGTTGTTCTCAAAAAAAATCTTAAGAGGGGCGCCTGGGTGGCTCAGTCATTAAGCCTTCAGCTCAGGTCATGATCCCAGAGTCCTGGGATCGAGCCATGCATCAGGCTCACCTGCTCGGCAGGAAGCCTGCTTCTCTCTCTTCCACTCCCTCTGCTTGTGTTCCTGCTCTCTGCTATCTCTCTCTCTGTCAAATAAATAAAAAAATCTTTAAAAAAAAATCTTAAGAAAGTAGTACTATAATAAATGAAATAAAATCCTACTAAATCAGAGATATCTATTTCCTCTGTCATAAGTGTAAGACTCAACAGAATATTAACACTGAACAATAGAATCATAACATGTACTTAATCAACAGTTAGAAAAATACTGGCGCTCTCTATACATATAGATATATGTGAGGAGAATGGAGTGTACAAAAATGAAAAATATGGAACTGCAATCTTACCATGTGAGGTTTCTGAATAAATTTTCTAAAATTTGATTTTACAAAACCTGTAGGTTTTTGGAATTCATCAACATGAGTAGTATTCTTCAACCTCGAAAAACTGGAATGCTGATCACTCCTAATAAAATGAAAGAGACAAAGTAAGAATATTTTATTAGTTTACCTTTACCCAACAAGTAAAGAAGAGAAATCAAATTGCCCCCTTCAGAGACAATTAAAGCAGCAAAACAGTAAAAACAAACAACAAACCTCAAAGATCTATCACTACTAAAATTACAAATGAAATGATAGTTATCAGGGCTAAACCTTCATTTTCCAACAAACATTATTTAGCTAAGTTGAGAGTCAGCAATAGGGGGAAATAAGGTTTGGACCAGGATTCTCAATCTGGGGCCCAAGGACAGGTTTCCTGGGGGTTGTAACCCCCTGAAACCATATGTAGAATGTGTGTTCTGAGGGAAAATCATCACTGCTCTTGAGACCTTGGCAGCACGGGGTCGCCCCCCTTGCTGACAGACTCTTATTAATGAAAGCACCAGAGACAAAGAATGTGACTAGCTCAGGTACTCTCATTAGCAGAGCTGAGCCCTCTGTTTCTGCTGGGCCACAGGAGCGAAGGACAGCTCCCCTCTCCTGTCATCACAATGTCCAGAAGTCACTTCTCTTCCCAGGCAGCCAGACCTGGGAGGGAAGCTCCTTCCTTGGGCTTCTCTTCTGACGGCGGGGCCTCATTTTCACAGCCCTTGGGCAGTCTTCCCCCTGTCACATTCCACATCTCCCCACAATGTTCCTCAGACCCTTCCTGCTCTGTGGTGAACAAACCGCTCACTGCCTCAGCCCGGCCTCAATCCCTTCCACAGGTCCCGTGCTGACATCAGGATAAAATCCACACTCCTCACCATGACCTTCAAGGCCCCTCCTGCTTTGGCCCCTGCTGTCTCACTGGTCGCTTTGTTCCCATCTCCCCCACGTGCACACTGGGCATTAGAAATATTTAGCCCTGCGCAGTTCCCTACACACACAATCTCTCCTGCTTCCTCAAGTTCGCATGAGCAATCCCTTCTGTTGTAATTTCCTTCCACTTAGATCAACTTTAAGATTTAGCTCCAACTGCACTGTTCCAGGAAGACTTTTCCAGACCCCTCTGAGGTAGACTAGATACCCCTGCTATGTGTGCATGAAGCATTTGGGGGTGTTCACACATATCACTCATGTTTAGTATATGTGCTGCCGAAGCGAGCACTGTATCACTCATGTATATAAATGCTGGTGCACCTGCCTGTCTTACCCAGCAAGCTGTGATCCCTTCACAGGAGGCACTGTGGGTGGTTCATTTTGTGGCCCCAGTTTTGACCCCCAAAACTGACCTGGAATAGCTACTCAGGGTATTATGAAATGTTAAAAACTCTCATGTTCTGTCAAAATGCTCATGATATGATAGTAAGTGAGGTGCAAAGCTGTATTTGGAGGATAATTTTTTTAAAAAATTTTTGTGGGGGTGCCTGGCTGGCTCAATTGGTAGAGCAATTGACTTGATCTCGGCGTCATGAGTTTGAGCCCCACATTGGGTGTGGAGCCTACTTTAAAAAAAAAAAGATTTTTTATTTTTTTTTAAGATTTTATTTATTTATTTGAGAGAGCTAGAGAGTATGAGAGTGGAGTGAGGGGCAGGGGGAGAAGCAGACTCTCTGCTGAGCAGGGAGCCTAATGCAGGACTGGATCCTGGGACTCCAGGATCATGACCTGAGGCAAAGGTAGCCACTTAGCCGACTCAGCCACCCAGGTGCCCCAAGATTTTTTATTTTTAAGTAATCTCTATACCCAATGCGAGGCTCGAACTCACAACCCCGAGACCAAGAGTCACATGCTCTACCAGACTGAGCCAGCCAGGTGCCCCAAGGATAATTTTAATTATTTAAAATATAGAAATGTATTAACAGTGGTCATCTCTGCTTCATGAAATTAAGAATGCCTTCTATTTTTATTTTTATACTATGTACTTCCAAATGTTTGCCACTAGCATATACTACTACTTTTATTTTTTTTTGTATACTACTACTTTTATAAATAAAACCGTGGACTTCTAAAAATCCTCTTTACAAAGCATATATCTGATAACAGAGTAATGTCCAGAATATATAAAGAACTCTTTACATCTCAATAATAAAAATATAACAATCTAACTTAAAACATGGGCAAAGGATTTAAATAGGTATTTCTCCAAAGAAGACACACAAAAGATGCTCAACATCATTAGCCATTAGGGAAATGCAAATCAAAACCACGATGAGATAACATTTTATACCTACTAGGATGGCTATGATCAAAAAGATGATGCCACCAGTATTCCTAACAGCATTATTTACAATAGCCAAAAGATGGAAACAAACTAAATGTCCATCAACAGAAAAATGGACAAATAAATGTGGTATATACAATGGAATATGATTCAGCCTTACGAAGGAGTGAAATTTTTTTAAAAAATGAAATTTGGACACATGATACAACATGGATGAAAAACATTATCTTACGTGAAATAAGTCAGACACAAAAGGACAATTAATGTATGATTCCACGTATATATACGAGGTACCGAGAATAGGCAAATTCACAGAGATAGGAAGGATAGAGGTTATCAGGGGCTGGGAGTAAAGGGGATGGGGAGTTTCTCTTTACATGGTACAGAGTTTTTGTTTGAGAAGATGAAAAAATTCTGGAAGTGGATCGTGTGGATGGTTGCACAACACTGTCAACGTACTTCATGCCAATGCACTGTACACTTAAAAATGGTTAAAATGGTAAAATTTATTATATGTATATTTTGCCACAATAAAAAAATTTAAACCTTTTGATATTTGTGACCAGGCAAAAGAGTGTCCAAGTTAAAGAAACTACTTCCCAGCCTCCCTGCAGCTAGGTATGGCCATGAGACTAAATTTTGACCAATGTTGCTGAAGCTGCATGTATAAATTCCACGAAGTCTTTAAAGACAAGACTAGAATATGGACCTGATGGCCAGGGCACAAACACCCATCCTGGACCATGAGGCAGACACCACGTGCAGAGGTTATCTGAGGAGCAAGATCTAAGGAGGCCGGTTTCCTGATGGGTCCACCCGACCTACCATGCTCTGATTTCCTGACTGTAATCTTTTTCTACATGAGAAAGAAATGATTTTTCTTTTGCTCTTACAGTCCATTCTCTACCCAGCAACAGGGTGAATCTTTTAAAATTTAAATGAGATTATATTCTTGGGTTAGAACCCAAAATGTTTTATAATCTCAGAATAAAATACAAAGTCATCATGTCCTCTAAGGTTCTTTGGCCTCACCTCACTCTCTTCCTTTCCCACTAATAATCTTATTGGTCTGCTTTCTAGTCTTTAAGCAGGAGTAAGTATGATCCTGCCTGAGGGTCTCTGCCTTTGCAGTTCCCTCTCTTAAAATACTATCCCCTAAAAAAACCTTACAGCTAACTCCCTCACTTAATTCACATCCCTGCTCAATTAAAAAAAAATCCTAAGTGCATTCCATAACTACCTAAATAAAATCACACCACACGTTATCACTGTCCTATTAAGCTTCCTCTTCTGCCTTACTTTCACCTCTCACTCACCGACACGTATTTATTTATTTTCTCCTACCATTAAACTGTAAGCTCAACGAGGACAAGGACTTTGTGTATACTTTTTCGCTGTATGTTTTCTATACCCTGTGTAGCTAAAAGGAAAGTCTCTGCAGTCTGATGTCCTCTCAAAGTCTACTATTTTATTTTGAAGCTGCTTTATCCCCCACACACCATGCCTATATATACAGTACAACACCTTGGTAACACTGTATGGAACTTAGTAAGGGTGGATACAAGAGGGAGAAAGAGTGGGTCAGAAGACATGGAGATATTAGGGTAAGAGATTGGTCAGAAGTGGGGGGAAAAAGAGAGAAGAGGGTCTTTGAGACTAGACAGAATGTCCTAGCATTAGGCTTTCTTAGGAAAGATTACCTTATGCATTAGGGAATAAATACGAATCAAGGCTTAAATGCATTACATTGTAAGTATCCTCTGTCCTATCTACTCCTTTGCAAAGTCTTCATTCAACAGCTCTGAATTGAGCTCAAGGCAGTGGGGATACAATGGTGGGCAAACATACACACAGGGCTTGCATATAACTGCTTGAGGGAAAAAAAGATCACAAAGGTGGGAAATTGCTACATCCTGTGATTTATGATTTCATATTTCTTTTTTTATTATGTTATATTAGTCACCATACAGTACATCATTAGTTTTTGATGTAGTGTTCCATGTTTCATTTCTTCTGAATTTCTACAGAAATCTAAATACTGACCGGACTAAACAGGTTTATGCAAAAATAGTAATGAGATCAATTTCATAGACTGAATTTCTAAGACAAAAGGATAAAATCAACAGTTTTTTTTATTTTAAGAAGGAAATCGAATTAGGATAAAGTTAAAGGTTCTAAATGATTTTTTTTCTAAGTCATTTTTTTAAAAAGATGAACAATAGCAAGTACTGGTGAGGATGGGAGGAAACTGCATGTTCGTACACTGCTGATCGGAATGTAAAATGAGGCAGCCACTGTGGAAAACTGTCTGGTAGTTCATCAAGAAGTTAAACACAGAATTATCATAGGACCCAGCAATTCCAACCCTAAGTATATATCCAAGAGAAATGAAAACATATGTCTACACAAAAACTTGCGCATGAATATTCACAGCACCATAATTCACCAAAGCCAAAAAGTGGAAAGAACCCAACTATCCACCAACAAGGGGATAAACAAAATGTGGTTATCCATACAATGGAGTATTATTCAGCCATAAAAGGAATATTCATGCTACAACATGGAGCAATGTTGAAAACAATATGCTACATGAAAGAAGTCAGCCACAAAAGACCTCATATTATATGACTGCATTTATATGAAATGTCCAGAATAGGAAAATCCATAGAGACAGAAAGTAGGTTAGCAGTTGCCGGGGGTTGGGGGGAGGGAGAAATAGGGAATGACAACTAATGGTTACAGGGCTTCTTTGTGGAGTGGTGAAAATGTTCTGGAATTAGACAGTGGTGACAACTGCACAACTTTGTGAATATACTAAAAACTAGTAAATTCACTTTGAAAGGATGAATTTTATGGTCAGTAATATCTCAATTAAAAAAAATCCTCATGGCTCCACTATGCCACACCAGCTATCCAATACAAATAAAATAGTCTAAAACACCCAGAAAAAGACACTGCAGAAAGACATCTTTGCATGCTACACACCATGCAAATGTTTGCTCAAAGTGAACATTAATAATACTTAATGCTGACCAGCTACTCTGTACCTTACACCCGATGCTTCAGTTACTCTTAACCACCACCATAAGGTTAAGTATAATTCTCATCTGTATTTGATGTATGAGGAAATAAAGATTAAATAACTTGCCTCAGATCAGTCACATAGCTAGGTGTCTACAGAGCCAGGGGCTGAACTGAGGTGCAACTCCAGGGCTCAAGCCCTTTCTCACCTCAAAGGGTGAAGATATATTCTGAAGCATTACATGGTTTTTATAAAATGCTGATTATCCTAAATCTGGTTTAAAAGTCCTCTTTCTTGGCACACTGAGTTTCTTACACTTGCTGAGTTAAGAAAAGCATGAGAGAGAGCTTATGTCACTGAAGAGCACAATCATGCTGTGTCCTATTAGGAAACTGGAGACTTTCACCCACCAAGGGACGAGATTTTAACTATTTTATTTTCAGCTGTTTTATATGCCTCAATACACAGTTTTGCTATCTTTTAATGAATCCCAAACTTATTATCAGCATCAAGTCCAGTTTTAAACAAGCTCCATGTATTGTGACTAAGACCTAGTTAGCCCCAGACCTGATTTAAAAGTCTAGTCAATTATCTTACTAATTTGATATTAAGGAATATGGAAAGAGAATTAGCACTGGCCCTTCCTATTCACACATTCCTGCTTTCTGAGAGATCCAAATAGTCTGAAGAACTTTGGGTGAAGTAGATATTTTGTCCTATTCAATCATACCTCATAATCATACAGGGTCCCAGAGTTGCCATGAATCCCACATAGTTTTTAGAACTAGAGATAAATTGGGGCCAATCTAGAATACTCAGAGCCCCTAAAAAGAAGTACAGAGTTGGGAAAGAAAAACAAGGATCTACTGATAATCAATTTGCCATGCATGCCTTAAGTATTTTGCCTGTGCCAGCTCATTTAATATTTCTAACCTGACCACATCATAAATTAGTTCTCACTTTATAGAGGAAAAGGCTCCAGAAATTAAGCCAGTTTGTCCACGAGCAAACAGCTTGTAAAATGGCAGAGGTGGGATTCCAACTCCTGTCACCTCCACATTTTCTACTACCCCTGCCTCTGCTTCATGGACAGACATCCATGAAGAGTTCCAAAAGAGAACTGTAATGACCTTGGGAAATTCTGTAATATTCAGAGTACCAGAATCTAAACGGCAGAATATGTTAGAGTTTCAATGAGGTTGAGTCAAATAGTCCATAAACTTGCAGGTCCTGGCACCTGCTAATAATCAAAAAGCTGTTACACTCTTTTCTAGAATTACAAAGACCTCAAATACTCACCTACCCCTGAGTTTTTGTTGTTTCAATTAAACAGCATATGATGATCACTGAATAACTTCAAAACATTTTAATAGATTTCACTTAAACATATAAAATGGATTTGAAGGATTAAATCCCTACACTAAAATGAAAATCATCACACACAAAAATTGAAAAATATGCTAAAACCAAAAGCTCCCTGATAATAGGATGTTTTTCATCTACTGATTACCTCTCTGCAGCACTAGCTATGTGAAAAATGTGCTCATCTTCATTCTGTAACCGTTCTTTTCTCCTTCTTTCAATGTCATGTCGTAGATCATTTGGATCTATTATTTTGACCAGAGTCTGAGGAATTTTGACAGAAGACAAACCATTCACATTACTGTTAGTTGCACAAAGACCATATCTAATAAGAACCTTAAGTAAAAGTCCTAAATAAGTTACCTTGTATTCACCCTGCTAATGGTAGTGTAAATCGATTAAAATATTTTGAGACACAATTGACAATGCACAGACAGAAAAGTTCATAACAATGAACCAGGAATCCTACCTCTGGGACTCTATCCCAAAGAAAAGGCTATCTACCCAAATATATTCAAAGTGCTATATTTAAAATCATCAAAAAAACGAAAGCAACTTAAACATAAAATAAATTTACAGGGGAAGGGAAGAATGATTTCATGGGAAATTTAAGTCAAAGTAATAATACACAAACATTTAAATTATGGTTAATATAGGCTATGTGGAAGTCAACGTGAAAAAAAAACCAATTACTGAGAAAAGCTAATTAAAATTTAAAAAGCTTCAATCATAAAAAGTTATGGGGAGCTCAGAGATTTTACATAAAAGCAACATTATTAAGTAAAAAACAAAAAGCATCTGAGACTAATATACTATGACGGTAGCTATGTTAAAATGCCAGATGTAAGACTGCAATGAAAGATGATCAAATGATATTTTGTATTAAGTGGTTGAGTTAAGAGGTGATTTTTCAAATTTCTTATGAATTGATTACAGTATTTTGATGAATAGAAATTTTCTGAAAATAGCACCTATTTAGTAAACCAACCTACCGCTGTAAGTTTAATAAAAATTATAACCATTCACAAGTGAAAAAAAAGTATTTACATATTCTATCTGAAATGTATTAAAATCTTTCCTCTGCAAAAACACTTTATTCTCAGTGATTAAATTAGCAGTTCTTTGAGAACTTGATATACTTCAAGAATGAGAGACAGTTTTCTTGCCCCCCCCCCCAGGCTAGTCCATAGAGTTTTTCTAATTAGCAAAGAAATGGGGGGGGGAGGTGTGGGTTGAGGAAGTGTTGGGTGGGAATACAAAGCATGGCAATATACAAATTCAGTATTATTTCCATTATTTTGCTAGTTCATATTCCACAGAATTTTTCATACATTCTACAGTAAACAGAAGGGCAGTATCAAATTAAACTAAGTTCCTCTGCATTCATCCATGTACGACTTAAAAAAAATATTCCACTTGACTGCTTGGGAAAAAAATGTAGGTATCAAACATACTTTCCACAAGCTTTACAGTGTGAAGTTTTGGAATGAATATTAAACGCTATAACTGCAGGTCAGTTTTACAAAGCTGTTACCCTTAGGGATTGTCTCTCTTAGGGAATATTTTTGTCTTTTGTCAGTGTTCTCTCTGCAACCTGGCCAGTAACTAGAACCTTTGGAGAGCTTTGTAAATCTCAGATTCCTGGGTTTCAATCCTTCTTTCTCATCTACTTTAACTCCTTTTTACTCTCTACTGCCAGTTTGCTTTCCCATCAGTATGCCAACAGTGTGATAATCTTTCAGCAAAAATTGTATTCACTTACCTGTTCTGGTTCATATACCATAGTTTGCTTATTCTGAAGCTCAGCCAAAGACATATCTATTCTCCTAAAATAATAAAGGCATATTACAATTAAATAATTATGTTATACACTGATACCTTGATTCCATTACTAGAGAATGGAATTTGAAATAAAGTTGGCGTGTCTTGGAGGAAGCAAAAAAAAACCCACTACCAGGTGGGTTTTATCTACACCGCAGTCTCCCAGGACACACATATCCTGTGAACAGTATCACAGTGACGCCTTAGTGGTTCTCAAATCACTAGTCTGTGTAACCTTAAACTTTGCTCCGGTGATCTACTGCATTCTAACATTGATTCAGCTCAGCTCACAAGACAGGGCACACCACCTGCTCGGACAGGTGCCAGCAGAAGAAGACATAGGTTTTCATCCGGCTGCCCTCAGAACAGCCATTTCTGACCACATGAAGCAACCCATGATTTCAATGGCTCGACAATTGTCTTTCATTCTTCCAGTGATAACTTCAGTAGGCAATTACTATAGACACAGCAGAATCAAAGTTAGGTAGGTAAAGATTGTCAACGTCCTAGACATTTAAACAATGCTACTCAATGGCTTTAATACAACCTATTCCATCAAAGTGCACTGGCCCAGTACCTGCTTGGGTTAGACCTGGCTTTTAGGTAGGAAATGCAGTCCTAGAGTCTACGGCAAAACCAGAAGGCAGCATCTTCCCAAATCTTTTCTGAGACTTATTCCCATGAGTTAAATGGGCATACAATAATCAATCATTACCTGTGAATTTCTGGATCTGAATTCAATTTAATTTCATTTACATCTGCAGCTTGCGTATCCCGCATTTTTGAAAAACGCTCATGTAGAGTAATGCCAGGTGATGGAAAATAATTTGCTGAAAAAGGAAACAAAGAGTTTTATCTCAGTGTAAAACTGATTCCACTTAAAAGATTATATATAAGCACAGGAAGAAGGGACTGTTAAAAAACATCCAACCTGTTTTCTCTTGAAAATATGTGGGACCTAAACTTATTCCACAGACTAATTTGTAGGGCTCACATGCCTTCCCAAGCCTAAGCAACAGTAAAAAATGCCTGACTTATGAACGCAAGGATTCTGTTCCTATTTGACATGCCTGCTTATTTGTTGGGGGAAAAGATAGTGGCTCTCTGAAAGTGAGGACCTTTCTTCTCCTAGGTAAGACTTTAGTATACTGGGGAGTAAAGATGGTACAGTTTTACAGTTCACCTAGAGGAAAAAATAAAAACAACCTTGAAACATCAAAACAATTTTGAACAAATGCTAAATGTTGTTTACATGTCACAGAAGGAGTCCTACTTGCCATTGTACTTTAATTAACATTAACTGAAGTTCGTGAAGACATTATGAAATCAGCTATGCTACAAGGCTTTTAACAGGACAGAGAGAAAGATAATACACTTGATCCATCAGAATGCTACTTAAGCAGTCCTTCTCCCTAACTTACTGTTCCTGTTCTGGGACAATCTCCTGGATTTTTCTGCAATACCACCTCCCTTTCTGCCAAGAATCACACTTCCTTTGGGTGAGAGGGGCTGGAACTGAGAAGGTGAACTGTTTCAGACAAACTGCATGTTTCAAAGTAAATAAATATGTGCCTTAGTTTGAGGGATGTAGAGAAAATAATCCGTTTTCAAAATATGTTGCATGAAGGTAAAAATAAAATCAGTGCAAATATCCAGTAAGAAATAGAAAATAAAAATTTTGAAATTCTTGAAGGTCTCCAGTTTATTATACCCATGATTGCTTTATTATGCAGCATCAATGAAGAAAGTTGTTCTACGTGACTGAATTTTCCAATTAATGGAAACTGGCCAGAAGCTAAAATGAAACAATTTAATGCAAATATTTAAAGTATTTGTAATACAACTCCCCAATGCCAATAAAGTATGCCAAATCAAACCGGAATCTTTTATCAATCACTTCATGTTCACCCTTATGGCACAAAGTCCCAGCAATGCCCTCAGGGGACTTTAAGAATATCACAATACCTAGACTTCCAGAGTTCTTGTCAAGTTTCATATACGGTGTTTGTTGCTTCCTCCTTCCTGTTTGGTTATCAGTTACTGGTTCTTGTGACTCTCAGTAGTCCTGTGTCTTGCAGCAGTCAACCTCTCCCTTTCTGACTTTCAATTTGTAATCTACTATGAGTTGAAGTACCAGGTTATTGGAACAACACATGAAGAACGAGGCTTGAATTAATACCTTACACTCTCTATAACAGATTTCCTTGTTAATGACCTAATCTATAATGAAATATTATTACTATATCACAGATATTTACCTATATCTTGTGAAAAATCAGTACATTATTTTTGTGTTATCCCTAATGTATGTGCAAAATATACCAACCTTTAACTTGATGGATTATAGTTATGATTTCCTGAGCAAATTCTCCTGTAGGTTTGTTTTCAGTATTCTGAGTTGAGTCAAGATGTTCAAACACTGGATGAAAGTTCTCACTTTTCCTGCCAACAGCAACCAAATCATGTGACATCTGTCTCTCTGTGGAATAGCTAGAAGCAACCCTAGAATAATTTGTAAATGTTTAACTAAATTTGAAACTATTTTACTGAGAAAAGAACTTATTAAAATTAACCAAGATAGCTATAAAACTAAAAAGATGTTTATCTTTTCTTATAGTTAAGGCACTAAGCTGTATGCCACCGAACATGTGCAATAATGCGTAGGAGGAAATAGCCTTAGATGCATGGTTTTGCGTTCTCCTTTTCAAATCAGAGATCATTAAATATTTGCCACTTTAATAATAAAATCCTCAAAATTCTAAGTTAAACAATTTTTACCTCCACAAATACAGCAAGGCATCAAAGGTCGATATGCAAAAAATAATCAATCAGATTATTTTCTACTCCCAAATGTCCATAAAATTGTAAATCCAGCAAGTTTATACTATCTTGAAGTACTACCACTTTAAAAGCTGATATCAAACATAATAACTTTTTTGAATTCACAAAAATCCTTATACCTCTATATCAGCAATGAGAAACTTAGTATTTTGAAATCAAACTCTGTTGAGATTAATCACTTACAAAATCTCACTAAACTGTCAGCAAATAGTCTCAGTTGTTAGCAAAGTTAAGATCATTAGAGCCAATTAGTGTTCACCCTAAATGTATCCTTAAAGAAACGCCAACATTTATTATATAACCCCAGCTATCCTACCACTCTAATGCTTTCTGATTCTTTATAACTTGTGTTAAAAGCTCTCTTGACCTAAGGTATCATCATGAAGTCATGATTATGACATACACTTAACAGTTACTGAGGGTTTATTGCAAGTCAAACACAGGGGCTCAGAACTCATTTACAAACATGATCTCATTTAATCTTTACAATAGCCCTATGGGGAAGGTGCTATGACGCTGGGACAATGGATGTCTTGGTTGTTTTGCTTTACATCCCAGAAGCTGAGTGTTTGTATGAACATAATCTCTCCAAGTGTCATAATGGGAAACTATACCTTATTCCAAGAAAGCTGTTCTTGCTTAAAACTACTCTTAAATTCTTTGTCTGCAGGCAGATTATGTGTCACAGAAGAAAATGTCTCATTTTATATTTATACCTCATTTTGGACCCAAAACAGCACTAACTAGCTTACAGCTCTCTTACTCCTCTGCATTTAACTCTAAATAGCTTTTGCCTCTTCCCAAAAATCATTTTCACTACCCAAAGAACTGAGATTTACAAGTGCTGGGGTTCTTTATGAGTATGTTACAGAGTCTGAAGATAAACCTACAAGAGAGCCCTGAAATATGTTTTAAATAATAGCAGCACCCCTGGAATAAATAACAAGTATCAATCAGATGGGTACATGCTGGGGTGTGGGTGTACACACGCAGAGATTCACTTACTTAAGTCACTTAACAGCCATATATATAACACAGCTCCAGGGTAATGAGGAGCTTACAGATATTCTCTAAACTTTTTAACTGCTCTAATAAGATGGTTTTAAGTGCCTATTTTTAACTTATCAGAGGCCAGGCTTCCATATGACTTTCTGTGCTCCCTGCTCTCAAACCAGCACTGTCAAGACAACTCCCTGCCGAAGCAATAACGTGGAAAAGTGATTATGCAGCAGGTTGATGCCACTGCTATGGTTTCCTTGCTTCATCAGCAGGACTTTCATTAGAAAACTCATTTCCCTTTTTTCCTCCTAATTTGCTCCAAGCTTTCCACTGTGTATCCTGTAACTAGCTGAGAGACATTCAGTGATAAACACTAGAAGCTAGAATGGCCCTGTAACAATCTCTACTAACAAAGACTTACAAATACTGTGTTTAATGGTACAAAACGCCTGTTCCACACACACACACACACACACACACACAAATTGCTTTTAAAAACATTTTACAGGAGAAAAATAAGATGTTCAAATAGAACTAAAAAAATGATCTGTCCATAAGGGAAAATCAGTTGATAATGTTTTGTATTGCAGCCTCAGTTTTTCCCAAGAGGAAACTAGTTGATAAAGTTTTTGTTTTCCACCAGGTCATTATTAAAATTTACTTGTCATTTATTACAAGTTAATTACTGGTATAACTCTTATACCCACTCCATGCCTAACCCTCAATCCCCAGGAGTGCTATAGTATAGTTTACAGCTATACTTAATTCCTGAAATTTTAGTGTTTACATTTCCTATCAATTTATCCTGGAGTTACTCCACTGCAAGATTTTTAATTAAAAAATGTTAAAATTGTCATAGCTTAGGAAACGCTAAAATTGTATCACCTGAAATTTTAGTTTGTTAAAAACAATTAGGATGGCTTTGCTATAAGAAGAGGCTTCTTGAAACTGGAGAACGCAAAATGTGCTAGGTATTTACATTTGTACATTTAATCACCTCTTGGTTCACATTTTCCTTTTTACTATTTCCTAAGCCAGGTATCGCTTTACAAGTGAATAATTTCAAGAAATACTTCCAATACAAGTAGGTAAACTGAAAAGACTAAATGTTCTCATTTGGGATGCATTTTAGACAGTTTGAAATATTAAAATATAGCCAAACACCTGTATTCTAGTACTATTTCTGATACTGGTCTAATGAAATTTTCCAGGTTCCTCTCTTCCCTCCTCCAACTCCACCTGTTTGGTTTTTTTTCCCTCTCTAAGGATATTTCCTCTGACGTTCTGAGCGTTGTGCATAATAACTAGGAAAACATAAAAGGCCACATTAAACCTTAATTTCCTCTTATTCATAGTTAAGATCCATCAAAAAACCCAACTGCATGGCAAAATAACATTTACAAAAAGCCCAACAACAACCCAAACTAATGGATGATCCCCTGCCCTCTGGAAGCTTATAATATATAACAGAATCCATGTGACACATACCAAGTTTTCCATTCTCGGTTTTCTCCTAAGAACTAACATTTTGTACAGCATCCTATCGTCCATAAAGTGCTCTCCCAGTTATTCATTTGCTCCTGTCTTCCTGAGAAGACACTTAGCATTTCTGGAGCTGAAGGTAAAGGGTCAGGGAGACTGCTTTTCCTCTAATTCAGCATCTTTTTTCACAAAAGTCCCCTACCTAGCCTCCCCAAGCCCAGTGCCCTTCCAAGTGACCTCACAGAAAGAAGGCAGCAGCCAGAACTGAGCTTCCTGCCCTCTCTGATCAGCTCATCCCGTCAAATCAGGCGGGCTCCGTGGCAGTCTCACCTTTGCAGCCGACTGTCCCTCTATTCCCTTTCACTGACCACTTGAAGCACACCTCAAAGTTCCTGTGTGTATCGCCTGCCTTTGTTAACCTATAAGTAGAAAAAGTCTTTCATCTCATCTCCACATGTTTAAAATCTTTGAAGCCTAGCTCACATGTCAACAACTCCTGAAAGAAGCCTTCCCAGAATCCCCCAGCTTGGGATCATCTGAGCCCCACCTTTTGTATCACTCACTGCTCCACGGTATTACCAACACTGCCCCATTGTCTATTAGACCAGAGGAGAAGAAACACAATCCTATGCCGATTTGTAGTCCCAGGGTACCCTAACGGGCTGTCTCACACAAGGCAGGTCTGCAAAAAAAGTACCTGCTGAATGAATAAATGATTAAGGGAAAACAACTTGGACAATTTGTAATGAGAGTTTCAGCTAAGAAGATGACAGACTTCAAAATTCTAATTGAGGCCAATTTAACTGTGTTTTTTAAACTTTCTTGGCTTACTTTTATTTTAAAATTATAACTTCATTTAGACCAATTTAAATTTTAAATATTTCATTTTTTATGATATGAAACCTCAAATATATACAAAAGTTCAGAAAATCCTATGATGAGCTTGTCAACCCAGCTTCAACAGTTACCAACACATGGCCAATGGAAGCAAAGTTGTAAGGCCAGGAGGAACTGCAGGTTAATTTGGGCCCAAAAAGGCATGGCCAGGTAGTCTGCCGATGTCACAGAGCTGCTCAGGGACCCAGTGGAAGACAAAAACTTATGCACCCCAACCCGAAACAGAATGTTCACTAAGAGAAGCTAGGGTGAAAAACAGAAATGAAAGGGAAGCTTCTCTCAACTGATTTTTTATGTTTAAAAACATATATTAGAAATATTAGGGGGGAAAAAAACCTTAGCTTTTTGTGATACGGAACAGTGAGGCAGCAGGTTTGTGTTATCACAAAAGTATCTCCACCCACGGCTTATCACAGGTAGGTAAACTTGTGTCACTGGGTTACCTTCCTTCAATCCTTGCTATGGTATTTCACACTGTTCCCGCACCTGTGCAGCACCCTTTTCCTTAGAGCATCAGGGCTCCAATGTCTTCTGGGTCCCATCACCTACCTCATCCCCCTTCAGAATGGAGAAAGACCTGATGGGGGGTAAGGAGGCCCTTCCTGTAGCTCTTCTGGGGGGGGGGTGGGGAATAAAAGGATTATATGCGAATGTGACTGATAAACTCAGTCCAGCATCAACTTTGCTAGCCAACCTTCCCATCCTAGATGCCTAGTACTAGCAGCCAGGGAGGTCAAAGGAGCCTCAGGTCCATCCACACCAGCTTATTCCTCTCCAGAGACTGGCCCCCCCCTGCTCCTCCCTCTCACTTCCTTACTAGCCTGACCAAAGTTCAGTCTCTCACCTACTCGCCCAACATTAAACCAAAACTCCCTTCATCTGCCCCAAGACTTCAAGATGTACACAACAGTGTTTGGAGTTCATAATAGCATTTGTAGAAATTTTCATATTACAGCTCCCTAACTTACATTCTGAAACATATAATTATGACTCATATGTAACTTCTATCTCTGATAATGCAGTTTCTGACAAAGTGGGTCACTAGAAGATAGTCTTTGTTAATACAAGTATTAACAATGCAGTGAACATTCGAGCAAGTGTCTACCTACTGCTGTTCTAGATAAAACAGGAATCTAGAAAAATCACTATCCTAATCACATATGTCTTCAACTACACTGATAAGTGGAAGAACATACATCAACATGTGACCAAAGCTAAGAAAGTAAATGAATGCATAAAACAACCATCTCAGACTTCCAAAAAAATGGATAAACCCTCTAGATTTAAACCAACTAATAAACCTCTCTCCACTCTACAATTATTTTAATCTTTTCAAGCAGAGGAAAATCTAAGTTATGCCAATAGTTGAGAACATGACTCTGTTGAGGGCATGAACTGCCTTAGTTTTATGGATACTTCATCAGTCCATACATAATTAAATCCAACCCCACAAAACTCTTCCACAACTTAACCATTCATTAATAAATAATTATCATCAGAGAGAAAGATTTTGTTGACTATGCTTTATCATACTAACAAGATACATATAAAGTTATTTATTCATCAGGTCTTTGAAAAGGAAGGATTTGCAGTGTTAGCTCTACTACACAAGCCATCCTACAGGTCCTTGTCAGATAAATCAGATGTGTGCTGACAGGTCATGAATTTCACAAAATTGTGGTTTATAAATTCAAAAGAAAAGATACAGCAGCTTCAATTTTAGGAAGCTCATTTTTGTGACACATGATGAAAATCAAGCTTCCATTTCTTCTCCCAATTATAAAATAAAGTGTATTCAATATTTCTAATGAGGTCTATTACGGTGAAATCCTTCAAAATTGGTATTTCTAGCATTCTATAAAAGTGTTAAGCCAATTTATTAATTCTCTTTTAAGTTAATTAAAGAATTAAGTTAACTGATTCTTTTTTAACATCATTATTAAATATGGGGGTATCATTACTTCTATTAAAAAATTCAAGATTTTTGTGATTTGATTGTACGCAATATTGCTTCCAAAGGAAAAACCTGTAAACAAAAATGAAATACTGAAGTATTTAAAGGGGAGTGTACTGATATCTACAATTCACTTTGAAATGTATGGAAAAAATAAGATGGAATGATTGATTGATGGACAGATATGTGATTATGAAAGCAGAGTAAAATGTTAACTGTAGACGCTCAGTGGTGGGTATATAGGTATTTACTGTACAGTTCTTTCAACTTTTCTGTGTATTTGAACATTTTCATAGTATAATGTTGGAAAGAAAAAAGCTCTTAAAGTTGATGCTTACAGCGGCTTTTGTGCTCTTAAGGTTAAGAACTAGTAGGAAATATAATAGTACAAAATGATTTAAGACTTACTATATGAAATAGGATACAAAATTATGAATATACTTTTATGACAACTATGTAAAATATACACAGAAAAATAACAAAAGAAGCTGTACTAAAATAGTAATAAAACTGTCCTAGGGTAGTAGAATTATGAGTGATTTCCTCCCTCTATTTGTCCCAACTTTCTATAAGGTAATCATATTTATAAGTGCTTTCTGTGCACATATAAATATACATATGTATATTTTATAATATTTTTGTAAGTACAATGAATATAAGGGAGGGGGATGACCATATCTAACTTTAAGAAAAGGAACAAAATAGGGGTGCCTGGATAGCTCAGTCGGTTAAGCGTCTGCCTTCGGCTCAGGTCATGATCCCGGGGTCCTGGGATCGAGCCCCATATGGGGCTCTCTGCTCAGCAGGAAGCCCGCTTCTCCCTCTCTGTCTGCTGCTCTGCCTACTTGTGCTCTCTCTCTGTCAAATAAATAAATAAAAATCTTTTAAAAAAAAAAGGAACAAAATATATTTGTTTAAAAAAAGAGAGAGACTGGGTTTACTCCTCTCCTTGTCACATCCTGACCTTAGATTTTGTTTTATCTTGTTTTTGACTGCAATTCAAGTATGAGTGAACTGTGAACATAAATGCAGCAAATCAGCATGGCCCATCACTTTTTTATTCACATACTGGTAGTGTCTTAAGGTAACGAACAGACTTAGCTGACATAGCCAACTGCAGTGCCTTATTATTTCCAGAATCCATAATTGTAAGTAATATGCATAATGGAACAAAGCATGCAAACCACTTTAGCAGAATATAACCTACCATTGGGTAGTCTATTTTTTTCTTAAAGAATCATTAAGAGCTAAAGTGAGTGTCTTATAAATAGGCCTCTTTCTAGACTCTAGCCTAATTTCCTCTACCTAGGAGAATCTAGTTGACTGAGCATCAACTGTTTTGAGATGGCAGCAAGAACCATGTTAGGTCACCTGCCTCCTTGAGCCGCAGGTGCTCTGACTTAGACAAGTGGCATCATCTCTCAAGGCCTTGCTTTCCTCCTCTATAAAATCAGGGCCAGTGAATGGCCCTTTCAGATCAAAAATTCTCTGGATCTGAGGCAACAGGGAAAACATGCTCTGAGAAATTGAGCAAGGAATAGGTCTCCCTGAACTCCACCCAGCCTATCCCTGGCTACAGAAAGTCTAGCAGCATAAAAACACATAAATTCATGAAAAGAAACAACTCCATAGAGTGCCCTGCACCCAAAAAGTATCTTGAGATATGACGTGGAAACCAGCAGACATGAGATCACTCTATATTACTGATCGTGGGATTCATCCTGATTACAGGGCTTTTGTGAAAAGTCCAGGCAATCCCTCCCCACTCAATGGACTCTAAACACACCGTTAATTCCATTTTCAAAGCTTCAAAGATGGTGGAAACAGATACTTTTCTTAAATAGCGCTAAGAAAAAACAAAAACAATACCTGGATGTATTTACTGCTTTCTTCACATCTATTTTAACAGTAAGTGATGTCTTCCTAAGACTGGCAGATGAAGGTTTCACACTAGAAAGTTTACTTTCATCAAGTTGGTTACTGGAAGAGTTGCTCTCTTTTCTGCCATCCCCTTCTTTCTTTCCTTTCTCCTTCCATTTGTCACCGCAGGGTCTCAAGCCAACATCACTTTTACTTGAATGCATAGAGGCAGTGCAGTCAGTGCAGTCTTTCTTAGATGGTTTGGAAGGTTCTTTGACTTGCCCACCTTCAGTTTCTCTCCCTCTTCCAGCATTAAGACAAATGGACTGTCTATTTTCAGGGCCTTTTTGAGAACTGGGTTTTCTATCTTCCTCCTTAGAGTACTTCTGAATTCTTCCATCAGGAATGTCCTGGTCCCCACCTGAGGTCTTGCGACGTTTGTGGCGATAGTCACAGGATACCCTGGTTGCTGAACTGGTCTCTGGCGGTTCCCTCTGAGCACGTCGATGAGTTTGGGGTCCAAGGTTCCACTGCTCTTTCTTTTCTTGGTAAGATGGAAGAGAATGCCCGAACTTCCACTGTGGGTTCCTGGCAGGCTCTCTGCTTTCATACCTCTCCACATCTTTAGGTCTTTTTGATGTGTGTCCATATTTTCTGAAATCACGATCCTCAGGATACCTGTGTTGACATAAAGCAGTTTACACTTGCACTAGAGAGAAGAAAGTGAGAATTTATATGTGTGGAATGTTGGGCAGCATGGCTTTAAATGCAGAAGGCAGTGGCAAGTTAACTATAATCCCTCAAGCCAACTCATAGAGGCACAAGGTAGCAAAAGAGGAAAATACCATCTTTTGTTACAATTCTAGCCATCAACATAATTTACTCTAAAAATAAATACTTCATTACTACCAGCAGACCATAATTATATTACAATGCTTTTTATCTTTTTAGACAAAAGCTTTTCAAGGTAGTTCTCTTCAACCATAAAGTAAACAGACTTTTGCACTTGAGGCTTTATACCAAATTACCCAGGTTTAATGTTTTCCTATACCTCTTCTGTAAAGAGCTCCTTTTCTCAAAGTCTTCGGAGCCTCTTCTCAGTGACTGAGAATAGTTTTCATCTTGTATCCTCTGGTGCCTCAACTCATCTTCATGCCACTTTCCTTCAAACCTAGAAGAATCTGCTATTGACCTCTGAGGTGGTTTCCCTCCTTTTCCACTTCCTCTGACTCTGTGGTCATCAGGAGTATACCTTCCTTGTTCTTTCTGGGAATAACAATTCCCCTGGTGCTCTTTGTAGGGTACACCTTCTGAATATTTGGGCATATAGTGAGATCTTCTGTTACCATCCCCTCCTCCTGATAAGTATGCTCGGTAAGGCTTATAAGTATAAACATTTTCTAAAGAGTTTCTTCTTAGGTTTGGGGAAGGTGATCTATGTTCATAAGATCGGTAATGCACATTTCCACGAGAAGGAATCCTTGGTTTACTCTGTCCGTGTTTCTCACTGTCCATTCGCCAAGTGATGGGTCTTTTTGGATCCTTCCTATATTCACAGCCATAATGCCCATAAGAATGTCTTTGTTTGTAGTGTTCAGAATTTCTAGGTACTGGTGATAAAGACCTATGTAAACAAACAAAAACGTTCAGTCCATTTAAAGACAATAAACAAAGTTTATCTTGATATGAACTACCTAAATAAGACATTTGCTTTTCACTGCTTCTTCCACGCATATCAAATTCATCAATTTGCTCTATCTGTATTCTAAATTGTCCATTTGGGTGTCTGATTACTGTTCTGGCCTATTCAACAAGCATATTCTTTCCATCTGAACTAACATATCCCATGTGCCTATCAAAATGGGCTGAGCACACCTATCCTGCTGGAGGAGACCAGCTTAGGTACACAGTAAGATCCATTTTGGAAGACTGCTGACAGCAAAGTTTGGGCAAAAGAGCCAGTCAGCAAAAGCTTGTATCAGGTTCAACAGTCAGGGAAGAAACAAGCAACAGGAAGGTCAGATTCACACAAATAAATGTGTAGGAGAGTCTCTGGGAAACTGAACATAACCTCTGAAATTAAATTAGATTCTAAGAGTTTATGATACCACAATAAACCCAAACTCAGACTCAAGACTGACCCCGCAGTTTCCCCAATTGATTGACTATTCTTTCTACTAAGGCTATGTCAAGGAGCAAAAAACTACATACTTAGTGTGTGGAGTGGGAGGGGGAAGAAGGTATTAAGACTTGAATTTCATACTTAGTTCCTCCATAAATACTACTAACATAGATAGATTGCTTTTCTTTCCCAGACCTGTTCCCTTACATGTGCTGTTGAAATAGAGCTTATAACTTTGGTGAATGTGGGCTTTAATGTGGCCACCATGCTCCCCAGGAACAGCATAACTTTTCTGTAACTACCTTCCCCAATACCTCAGCATTGCCAACATCAAGACTTCATTCCCATGGAGGAGGAAGAAGGCTCCTATATCCAGGGAAACAAGTCTGAGTTGCCTGGACTTCAAGAGCAAAGCTCTTTGAATACTATCTGGAATACAATAAAGTTCAGTTTTGTACCTGGGGACCTTTCCTCCCATCTCACCTTTCCAATTAACCCAATCTCCTCCTTGGGGGCTTAATATCTTCTAACCAACAGGCAGCTACCCTTGCAGCTTTTGTTACTGCCCACCTTCCGAAGCTGCCAGAGAGTTGGAACAACCACAAGTCAGACCCTTTCCATTTGGTGACACGTCTGTGTCCTCCCTATGAAAAAGGAGGCAGATTTATCTTCCTTGTGTACCTACTGGGGTTTATATACTAGACTTGGCACTATCTCCCTCTGGAGTCACCAAGCTAGATGTACTAGCAAGTGCATTATTTAGCTTAAGAAGGAACTCTGTCATCCCGCTGGTGGCACCTCATCACAGGAAGAAGCAAGCAGAGCCTCTGAGGACCTTCTGGAAGAGTGCACGTCTTCCATTGCTAAGGAGAAGAGCTGGCAGCCAGAGACAGAGGTCTTCCAGACAGGATGAAATATTCAATTTCTTACTTTAATCCTTACTTTATAATGAATATTGCTTTGTTATTATATTTCACATAAGGTGTTTTATTGTATAAAACCCCATTTTTTTGAAGGAGATTACTGGAATGGTTACTATCATTTTCAATTCTCCTAAGGAAACAAAAGAGATCTGAGGAGTCTGTTGGGAGACAATTCTCCTTGGGTCTCTTGCATTCTGCACTGGTAAGCAGAGGCTGACAGCTTTTGTTCCAAGACACCGCAGCCTGGAAAGATGGAGATAGGGCCTCCCTCAGGGAAAAAGGGCCAATTTGTTTGCTATCCAGGATATGTCTCCTCCAAGGCAAAGACTGGGTGGGTTTGCTTGTAGCCCCTGATGAGGCTTGGGTTCCTCAGCTGTGTGTGGCCACCACAGTGCTCTGCTCTGCAGCTCCCACCCTCAGGAGACTTGGGAGTAAGGGAAACACAGGAACACGATGCTCAGGCTGCCTGCTGTACCATGAGTCATAAAGGCCTTTGTCTCTGACCCAGGAGTGCCCTGTGGCAGGCCAATGTGCTAGCTTGCAAGTAATGTCAAATATCAGATACTTTACAGTTTGGTTTTTTTTTTAAAGATTTTATTTATTTATTTGACAGAGAGAGACACAGCAAAAAACGGAACACAAGCAGGGGGAGAAGCAGAGGGAGAAGCAGGCTCCCCGCTCGGCAGGGAGCCCGATGTGGGACTCGATCCCGGGACTCCAGGATCATGACCTGAGCCGAAGGCAGACGCTTAATGACTGAGCCACCCAGGCGCCCCCAGATACTTTACAGTTTTTGACAAAGAGTCCTGAGAAGGAATCTAGAAAACAGGCACTAAGTTTGGCAGGTCTTCTGTGCCCCTTCATTGGGGCCTATCACAAAAGGGTTAAACAAAACAACCTCTGTGATGCCCTCCATATTAAAATCATTCCTTTGTTTATATTCCCTTTTCTTCCTGAAGCTCCTTCTTGTTACAACTTGGTCTTGCAAATTACAAAATGAAAACTGTTAAATGATTGACTCGTCATTGTAGAACCATAAAGAATAAGCACAATGGCCAAGTCGTATTAACATGAAAAGTTCTGGTCTGCTTTTTATGTATGTAATTATGGTCCTTTTCTAAGTCCTAGAATGTACTAGTCACTTTCATAGCTCTGTGCCGTTGCTCCTGTTGCCCCTCTTAACTGGAATACTTTTCTCCTTTGTTTCTGCCTTGACAAATTCTACCCATCCTTAAATGGGCAGCTGAAATTTCATCTCTTCTTTGAAGACTTTCTTAGTATTCCCTTTTTCCCTCCATAAAAGCAGAATTATTCCTGCTCTGTGGACCCAGAATACTCTGTCCCAGTCAGTAGCACTGCGCTTAACCTGCAGTATCATAGCTGACTGTGGTGCCAATCCCCCAGCCAGTCTGCCTGCTTGCTGAGGCCCCAGAAGATGTCACATTGCTTTTGTAGCCCCAGAACCTGCAGCAGGTATACAATAAATACTGGTTGAACTGTTCCGATCTAATTATATGTATATACTATTGATACTGCCAACCAGGAAAGAAGAAAGTTGAACTACAACTGAGTTACTCAAAACTCTATTACTCTTCCATGAAGAAGAAATAGGTAACTCCTGATTTTCTAACTCCCAATTTTTTCAAAGATATTGACTATGAAAAAAAAACAAGAGTTCTAAACCACTTACTGATGCAAAAAAATGGAACACTCAAAGATGTTTCTCATTCTCCCTTGCTGTGGCCATTGCATTTCTTTTTATTATGGATTAATTCAAGCTGCCAGTCATAATTAAAGAAAGATGTCAGCTTTCAGAATCTAGAAATACAATCTCTATCACTGTAAAATACCTACTGTGAATAACCAGGTCCCATGAGCTTATTAAAATAGGTTCTTAACAGTACCAGTGAACTTGAAAGTCAAAGCACATCTCAAACCCAAGCTTACTCTACTAAACTAAGAACTGCTCACCTGTGTTTCCACCTGGGGGATCGAGAGCGTGACCGTGCCATCCTTTTACACTTGAGCCACTATCCACTTTTACACTGCAAAGAAACACAGTATTAGCAAGTTCATAGGAAGAGCCTGCAATCTGCTCTAAAATCAGTGAATACCACCAACAAAAAAGTACTTAAGTTCTCTGTGTCTGTTTCTTCATCTGTAACACTGGGATGATAATAATAGAACCCACCTTACTGGAATGTTGTGAGGATAGAATGAATTAAATCAGGGGTCAGCAACTGTGTCCTATAGAGGGCCAGAGAGTAGGCTTTCTGGGCTATTTGAGAGATAGAGTGAGAGAGAGAGAGAGCCCAAGACGGGGTAGGGTCAGGGGGAGAAGCAGACTCCCTGCTGAGCAGGGAGCCTGATGGTGGGACTTGATCCCAGGACTCCAGGACCATGACCTGAGCTGAAGGCAACTGCTTCACCAACTGAGCCACCCAGGCGCCCTGGCCATATAAGGTCTTTACCGCATCTTCTTTTTTTTTTAAATAACTCTCCAAAAATATAAAACCATTCTTGGGTGCCTGGGTGGCTCAGTTGGTTAAGCGACTGCCTTCGGCTCAGGTCATGATCCTGGAGTCCCAGGATCGAGTCCCGCATCGGGCTCCCTGCTGAGCAGGAAGTCTGCTTCTCCTTCTGACCCTCCCCCCTCTCATGCTCTATCTCATTCTCTCTCTCAAATAAATAAATAAAATATTTAAAATATATATATATATAAAACCATTCTTAATTCAAGGGCCACACAAAAACAGGCCCCCAAAGCCAAATACACTGTAGCATGATGATCCCTGAGTTGTCATGAAGAGTGCTCAGAATGGTGCCTGGCACATAGCAACTGCTAAGTAAGTGTTCCAAAAAGAGGAAATCCTTACCCAGAACTCCTCTATCTGAACCACTACTACCTTCCTGTCTTTCACCATGTACATAAATACTTCACATAATCACAGTCAAAATGTTTAGGGTTACTTGATGATACATCCTGCTTTTTAAATTGCTGGATAATAAGAATAATTTATAGTACTAAATTGCTACCTAACTTCCACCAGATAAATAAACCATAACTTGATTAAGCATGATTAAACATTAAGTTTGCTTTTGATTTTTTTTGGTAAAACAATGTCAAATAAATACATTTTAAAAGTTATGTAAACTTGATTTTTAAAATATTAAGTCTTTAAAAGAAGCTAACAGCTTTAGGAATCAAATTTTTTAAACATGTGATTAGCGTATAATCTTTTATACTAGCTATTATTTACATTTTAGTAATCCTCCTTAGTTCTGATACTATACTTAGTTCTGAACTACTATAAGTAGGTCCCAACTTACTGGCCCAAACTACTGGTGGCTTTCAAAATTATTGCCATGGATTGATAAATAATACATGGAGCCACTATGCACAGACTATAGTCTATATACTATATATATAGTACATACTATATACTATAGTATGTGTCTCATGTATTATAACCTCTATTTTGCAAATTTCTGAAGATAGCATGGTCATTGTTAAAATATAAATGGCTTCTTGGGGCGCCTGGGTGGCTCAGTCATTAAGCGTCTGCCTTCCGCTCAGGTCATGATCCCAGGGTCCTGGGATCAAGCGCCACACCAGGCTCCCTGCTCCGCGGGAGGCCTGCTTCTCCCTCTCCCATTCCTCCTGCTTGTGTTCCCTCTCTCTCTGTGTCTCTCTCTGTCAAATAAATAAATAAAATCTTAAAATAAAATAAAATAAAATAAAATAAAATATAAATGGCTTCTTGTAACTATGTAGTTTTTCCATTGACTGATACAAAAAGCACAACTATTATTATGTGGACACTTGTTTAAAAAGGGAGTCCCCATAGTCAAACATCTGCAAACTACTGTTATAATGAATTTCAGAAGAAAGTAAAAGTATGTAAGGCTAAAGGACTAGAACCACATCACTCACCAGAAGGCATTCAATTCAATTCATTTATTTATATAGTGTCTCTTTCCAAAAAGAAACTGAGGCTAGTAAGAACAATTAGTTCAGAGGTACCATGAAATTAAGACACTAACTAAAGGGGGAAATTCTCTCATTAAAACTATCAAAATGCATTTCTTCAACAAATATTACTGAGTTACTATTTGCCAGCCACTGTTCTGGGGATACAGCAATGAACAGAAATAGGGAAAAATTCCTGTGTTCTGCAGTTTATATTCTACTGAGGGAATTTATAACTTATAACTTAACTAAGGAAGCTGTGGGTATCAGTTCATATCTATGAAGCTGAACAAAAATTAAAATCCCAAGGTTGGTGAGAGGGGATGACACCAAATATTGTTGGTGATGATGAAAAAGCATAATTTTTCTGGAGGTTAATATAATTTTTCCATTTTATTCATTATTTTTATTTTTATTTTTTTAAGTAAGCTATATGCCCAACGTGGGGCTTGAACTCATGACCCCAAGATCAGAAGTTGCATACTCCATCAACTGAGCCAGCCAGGTACCCCTCCATTTTATTTTTATTTTTATTTTTTTGAAAAACAGATTTTTTGAGATATAATTCACATACCATACAATTCATTCATCTTAAGGGTACAATTCAATGTTTTTAGTATATTCACAGAGATGTACAACCAACACCACAATCTAATTTTAGAACATTTTCATCTCCTTTAAAGGAAACCCCATTAGCAGTTGCTCCCCATTCCTTCCCTCCTTTGATTAGCCCCTGACAACCACTAATCTACTTTCTCTTTCTATGGATTTGCCTATTCTGGACCTTTCATATAAATGGACTCATACAATATATATTTTGTGACTGGATTCTTTCCCTTACCATAATGTTTTCAAGGGTCATCCCTGTTTTACCATGTATCAGCACTTCATTCTTTTTATGGCACATTTTATTTATTTATTCCTCTCCCAGTGGACATTTGGGTTATTTCTATAGTTTTGGTTATTATGAATAATGCTGCTATGAACATTTGTGTATCCGTTTTTGTATGAATGTATGTTTCTACTTCTCTTGGGTATATACCTAGAAGTGGAATTGCTGGGTCATATGATAACTCTATGCTTAACTTTTATTATTATTATTTTTTTAAGTAGGCACCATACCCAGCATGGAGCCTAACATGGAGCTTGAACTTACGACCTTGAGATCAAGACCTGAGCTGAGATCAAGAGTCAGATGCTTAACCAACTGAGCCACCCAGGAGCCCCTATGTTTAACTTTTAGAGACACTGCCAAACTTTTCCAAAGCAGCTACGCCATTTTATATTCCCACCAGCAATGTATGAGGGTTCCCATTTTTCCACATCCTCACCAACATTTGCTATTGTCTGCCTTTCTGATTATAGCCATTCTAGTGGGCTGATGTGGTACTTCATAGTTTTGATTTGCATTTCCCTAATGATGGTTAATCTTGAAATATGTAAGAAATTATGAAACTAATCATGCCTTTCTTTTAATCTAATAATTTCAGTTTAAACTTACTACTCTAAGCAATAATTTAAAAGGAAAAAATCAGCTATATATACTAAGATGTTTAATATTAGCTTTATTTATAATAGGAAAGGAAAAAAAAAAAACCACCCAAACTAGTTATAACCCTAATGCCCAGGAAACAATAAAAGATTAAACAAATTTAAAACATATGTATCTAGGGGCACCTGGGTGGCTCAGTTAGTTAAGCTTCTGACTTCGGCTCAGGTCATGATCCCAGGGTCCTGGGATGGAGCCCTGCGTCAGGTCCCTGATCAGCGAGGAGTCTGCTTCTCCCTCTCCCTCTACCCCGCCCCCTGCTCGTGCGTGCGTGCTCTCTCTCTCAAATAAATAAGATCTTTAAAAAAACACATATATTGGGGCACCTGGGTGGCTCAGCCATTAAGCATCTGCCTTCCGCTCGGGTCATGATCCCAGGGTCCTGGGATCGAGCCCCACATCGGGCTCCCTGCTCTGTGGGAAGCCTGCTTCTCCCTCTCCAACTCCCCCTGCTTGTGTTTCCTCTCTCGCTGTGTCTCTCTCTGTCAGGTAAATAAATAAAAATCTTTAAAAAAGAATAAAAATAAAAAAACACATGTATCTAGTCACTTCCTACCTTTCTCTCAGCCTTATGTATGTCTTTTCCCCCACATAGCCTACTAGCCCTCCACACCACACTACTTGCTTTTCCCTGATCAGGCCATGCCCCCACCCCACACACACAGATGGCCTTCTCTCACTCTACTTGACAGATCTCTATTCTCTCAGGACTGTTTGACCATGATCTCCCCCGGGACTCTTTCCTTGACTATCCTACTTTCCCCGAGTTTCTTTCTTCTTGGGAATTCTGGGTTTATTCTGAGATTATTTGAATACATTATGATTATTTGTTTAAATAACTCTATTTGTTTCAATAAATAAAAGACTCCAGACAACTTATCACAGAACACAAAACTCTAATGACCTATGGTCATAAGATGTGGAACAATAAGGACTCTCATACACTGCTAGGGAGTGTACATGAGTATTAACCAGTTTGGAAGGAATTGACAGTACCCATTCAAATAAATAAATAAAATCTTTTTTTTAAGTATTACTCAGAATATTTTCCTTTAATATATTAAAATTACCTTTATTAAAATTCAAACTATTCACTTGAAAATGGGTGAATTTTATTGCATATAAATTATACCTCAGGGGCGCCTGGGTGGCTCAGTCGTTAAGCGTCTGCCTTCGGCTCAGGTCATGATCCCGGGGTCCTGGGATCAAGCCCCACATCGGGCTCCCCGCTCAGCGGGAAGCCTGCTTCTCCCTCTCCCACTCCCCCTGCTTGTGTTCCTGCTCTCACTATCTCTCTATCAAATAAATAAATAAAATCTTAACAAAAAAATTATACCTCAAAGCTGTAAAAAAGTTCTTTCGGGTGATGAAAACACTCTGAAATTAGATATTATGAAGATGGTTGCACAACTCTGTGAACATACTAAAAACCATTGAATTGCACACTTATTTAAACTTGTAATTTACATCTCAATAAAACTTTTTTAAAAAGTTAACTTTGGCGGGGGCGCCTGGGTGGCTCAGTT